TTTCTATGTGGAACACGCGAAACCTTCAAAAGAGCGCTAACCGGGTCGAGCATGAAGCAGTTGACTCCCTGGCCGGTGGAGAGCACTACCATGGTGGCGCTGCCGTAGAGGGCGTAGCCCGCTGCCACGAGGTTCCTGCCGGGCTGCAGAGCGTCCTTCTCACAGGGCTCATCATCTGTGGTCTGAGGGAAACGGCATCAGTCGTGTCATTATTGATTCTGTTGCCTGATTCGACATCAGTGGAGCGTTTGCATTAAAATCCGTTTAGTCCCATCTACAAGTGATGCAGCTGTAAAATCCAATACAAACAGTTTGCCAACACTTTAAGTTTTTAAATCAAGAACAAACCCGTTTCATCATAAGCTCTTAACCCTGTGCTAGTACCTTTTTGTAAATGGCAAAGATGGTGCCAATGGAGACGAGACAGTCGATGTTGGAGGAGCCGTCCAAAGGATCAAAGCACACGATGTATTTCCCCTGAAGAAGTAGAAAAACATGCAGTGACTATGTGACGTGTTATATACAAGAGAGAGTTACTTCTACAAAGAGGCGTCTCCACAGCTGCCTTGAAACGCCTCCGGGCAGCGAATCTGAGGCCTTATCTAATTTCACTGATCACCTGGTGATCACCGAATCTGACTGTATCTATGCAACTGTCAGATGTCATAGAAAATAGTTGGTTTCTGAGTTTGCTCCAAAGGTTTTACAAAGCACATTTCCCCTGGATGTTACACTCGGATGATGTGGAATTCACTGTTAAAGGAACTTTTAAAAAGGTCAACTTAGAAATATCTGAATGATCCGTCTCAGTTTTCAGAAAACGTCCCGCACAAATAAGATCAGGTTTTTCAGGCTCGGTGGGTTCTTAGAGGAACCTGGAGCGTTAAACCCGGTTAGGCTCAAAGTCTCAAATATCTCACACTTACCCTCCTGTCTGGCTCCACTATGATGGCTTTGTCATTCTCTTCAGACACCAGCACGCAGGAGCTGAACGATGACTTGAGCATGTTGATGACCAGATCGTTGGACAGGATGTCCAGCTTCTTCACCTGATCGCCCGTCACATTGGTGCTGCCGGCGATGCCGTAACTGAAAAAAGCAAAAACAAGTGAGCGTGAAAAGTTCACACACACACACACGTGTGTATTTATATCCTTGTGGGGACATCTCATTGACATAATGCGTTCCCTAGCTGCTTACCATAACCATAACCTAACTGTAACCCTGACACTACAACCACACTTTGAGTCTCAGAAATGCCTTCAAACTCGTGGGGACCAGGCTGTTTGTCCCCACAAGTATAGTAAACTACCAATGTTTGGTCCCCATGAAGATG